CTGTCACCCGAAGATCGCTATTCACATTCTAAATAGCTGCATTACCGTATATTGCCCAGGTGTGAATGGCTCATGCATACACATGAGAGCTCCTACATATTCAATGGAAGGAGGCCAGAAATAGTGATATGAGTTAGTTTTTTCTTATTTATTTATCCAACTGAATGTTGCAACTGAACCATTTAGTCATCGTCATGTAGCCAGGACTTTGGTGATCAGATATCTGGGATCAAAACAAACTGCCACCATTGCTTACTTATGTACTTTTATAATGTTTCTGCAAGTGTTCCAAACTGCATTTTGCAATGTATATACTTTGATGTCAAATGACAAACGTCATATAAATCTGACATATTTACAAAGTACACTAAGATTAAGATGAGTTTAATGCCAAATATAATATCAAATATATAAGAAATAATTTGTTTTGCCATGAATTAAGTTGAATGTGTGACCATGCCCCAGTGAGTGAAAGTGTGTCCCCTACATCCATGCAGGCAACATCAGTGTAATAACAGTATCAAAAAGCCCAAACTGAGCCAAATGGAAATAAACAGGCATAAGTTTGCTATGTCTTACTAGACCCTATACAGAACAGCCGTAACATAGCAGCCACAACACGTTACCTCCCCCATGACCCTCTCAAACTCAGGCCTTGGAGCCTAACACAGCCTAAGGAAAGCTGAAGCCCCGCCCACCAGAGGAACCATCACCCAAAACAATTAACCACCAGAAATCAATTAACTAAATAACAACACTGTCATTCTAAAATAGTAAATAAAATAAACAAATACAAAACAAACAATAACGCAAAACCAATTTTGAACACCCAGATGTCCCATTGCACCTAAAAATACATCTTAGGTAATAACAATTAAAACACCTCTGTCTAAATAGCTTCACCCACCATCCTCCCGCGAAACCCCTCTATTTTACCTAAGTGGTACAATCCCTCGGTTTCCCCGCGTAAACCAGGAAGTTCGGGAAGTTTGAATGGTGGTAAGTAAACTGTATATGGAGATGCAATTACAAAGTTTTATCAATAAATGAGAATGATTTGGCAGCTAGTGTGTTTGTTTGCAATTATTGATACGAGATTAAGATAACACAGATGAGAAGAACAATGAATATGACATGAGTATTTTAGCCGAAGTCGAATGCAGAAACAGAAAATTCTGGTAATTCTGGCCTTTCCCTGCATCTCAGCTAACAAATTTGTACAATGGCTAAGTTATGGCAAACAGTGGTAAATGACAAGCATGACTTATGAAACCAACAATATAAAACAGCATTAACAGTGAAGATAATGGGAATAGCGGCTCACAAGCGACAGGCCAGCTGAGATATTTAAGTTCGCCGGCACATGGCTGCCTATACGCTGCGTGCTTGTGTAAGCGTCACAGCTCACTCCGTGACAATCACCACAATGGCTTCCCATCCGACAGGTGCAAGTGTTCTTTTGCACAATTGGTGTAGAGCTGCCAGCTGTAATAAGACAGAAAAACTCAACCCCCCAGGGTTTGATCCGTAAGGATTACATGCCTTTAAAAACAAATAAAATAAATCTGAAGTTTATTATCACACAAGGACCTTAATCCTTCAGCTTCCCTGGTTCAATATTCCTGCACGGTCTATATTCTCTCTGTATTACCATGAGACACTGACTGAACTCTCCATACCGACAGCTCAGTCTGCTTTTTTAAACCGGGAAGAGCTAGAGAAGGTACCAGGCAGCACAGCCGTGATCTTCCAGCAAATGTCATTTATGAGCAACCAGGCTAATTCAAGGGAGCTTATCAGCCTCCCCCTCTAGCATCATGCCTCCAATCAGCTGAGAGCTTCAGGGATCCGGCACACCTGAAGCCAATGGAGGACAAAAGGCCGAAAACCTGCACCCATCAGGACCCCCCCCAGCGGGCATTCCGGTGACCACGGCAACACAATCGCATCTGCACATTCACAAAAGGTCTATGGGCACTAAATGGGAGAGTGCGTGTGCAGCTCCGGGGCCACGCCCCCATAACGACAGGCTGCGGCCGGCGAAGCCGTCCGAGGGCCAGGCGGGACGCGGGCTGACCTTTCGGAGAGTGCCGGGGAGGCGCTGCGTCACGGGGCTAATTCCTGTCTCGCAGCTAATGCACTGCGCCCAAGATCATTATCCATGAGCCCTAACGCTAGGAGACAGGGTCGCCACCCCCGAACCGGCCGCGGAAGAAGATCTGCCCAATCTACTGGAACTTTCCACCTTCCCACAAAAGCCTGACAAAAAACATACTCGCCGCTGTATGATGATTGACATAGTAATA